CCCAAAAAAACAAATCAGGGACATCTCTTTTCCAGGATCCCGACCATTAGAGAAAAGGGCACAGACAGGGTTCCTACCTCCTGAAAGTCCTAATAGAAACCATAACTCAGGCTAGTATTTGTAGGGCTAACCTGTTTTAGTGAAACTGGACAGGTCCTGTAATAAAACTACTGACTTCATTTTGCAAATGCTTTGCACCATAAGGAAGAAAGACTTTACACACCCCAGAACCTATAAACACCTTTATTCTTCCCAAAGAAATGTCCAATAGTTCAAATGAACCAGTGGTTATGCTCATCATCTCAAAGGTCTCACTTTTTAAGATAGGAAATTGGTCCCTAAAAGACAAGCCAAAAGAACACACTTTAGTAGTGTAGCTAGACCTAAGAGCCAAGTCTTAATGCCCAGTTTGGACAGTTAATATAGCATGTTGATCTAGAACTTTCTGCCTAGGGGCGCCTGGGTGGCTTAGTCATTAAGTGTCTGCCTTCGGCTCAGGTCATGATCCCAGGGTCCTGGGATCGAGCCCCGCCATCGGGCTTCCTGCTCGGCAGGAAGCCTGCTTCTCCCTCTCCCACTCCCCCTGCTTGTGTTCCCTCTCTCGCTGTGTCTCTGTCAAATAAATAAATAAAATCTTTAAAAAAAAAAAAAACAACTTTCTGCCTAGAACCTAAAGAGCTTTTTCCTTATCTTCTATCTCCTCAGGTCCTCATCTCCCTTCCTCTGGAGTCCTCTTCTGTAACCTCTCACCATTGAGAGGCACCTTGCAAGACGAGAGGACTTAAAATCTTACATGTTACTGCCCAGCACAAAGGGTAGGTGGAGAATCTAAAATATATTGGCTAATAATTATTTTGCTTACCATTTATCCATACTACTCACGTATTTTATTACCACAGATATCATTTTGATGTTTTGAACACCTGCTGTAACTTTAAACCTGTTTTCTTTAGAAAGAAGCCCACTTGTCTGGGCCTTCATTAGTTTGTTGCACTTGAATGATTCATCAATCCTTGGGCAACAGGATTTAGGGTCACAGAAAAAAAAGCAACTGAACAGGTAGAACACGGAAACAATCTCAAAAAGATGACACAGGACACAATGTTTCAAAATTTGTACATCGTTTACTTGAAGCAACAGTCCAGGATTGTGAAGTACAACACACATTTTAAGGATGAGACTTCAGTTCATGGTCAAGCACCAGCATCATGCACACAGCTTCAAGTTACCTAAGAAGAGCACTGCCCCCTTGGGGTCTGTTCACCACGAAGACCTACTTCCATGTGGCCACTGCCCTTGCTTGCTTACCACTTGGAATTTGTCAGTTTGAGCGTACATCGAAGCCTTCCTCTGCATGAGAGCAGCGGGCTTAGCTCATCAGCTAGTCGAGTTAGTATCTGGCTTATTTCTTAAGGTTCAAAAATTAAAAAGGCAGTTTTTTGCTTTGCAGGCAGCAAGGCATGAGGCACTAGCCTCTACTATTCCATATGGCACAGGAAGATGCTTTTAGCAAAGGGCACTGGCAAGGTAGGCCAACAACAAGTAGGTTTGGCATAAAGACAACCCTGTGTTTGGGGGCCGGAAGGATCGGTGCCTGTGGACTGTTTACTGGTCTGTCCAGTCAAGGCTTGGTAAACCCAAGTAAAGCTGACAAGAAAAGGGTTTTAAAAACCTCAGTACAAAAGATCCTCTAACACATTTGGAACCAAATTGTTCTTAAAAACACTGTACTAAGTGTCACAAAACTTTCCCTCCAATCTACTACTAGAAAACACTCATGCCATGGCCTACAGACCCAGAGGAATCAGGACAGATAAAGAGAAACCTGTTCTTTGAAAAAAAAAAAAAAGACAGCAGTACATAAAGTGCTTCTTTTTTAATGAAACAAATCCAAAAGATGTACAGTCAGGCTCAAGTTGTGCAGTTCACAAGCATGGAGAAAACAAACAAACAAAACGACAGAGTTCAAGAGAATCGGAGCTAACCCAGGACGAGGCTGGACTTGCCACCAGGGGGGTTTCTTCGGGATGGCACTGGGGCCGGAGCCACTGGGCTGGGCACAGGGGCAGCGGGCACGGGCTTCTCCTCACTCTGCCCCAGGCTGGCCTGCAAGTCTGTGTCCACGTTTTCTAGGAAAACAGAAGGAAGTTAAGGCTAACAACTATTCCCAGGTAAGACAAAGAGTCTTAAGATTTTCTTGGATGATGGTTCAAATCATACCTGGAGATACCAAATCATACCTAAAGAAGGCAACAGTCATTCAACCATGTTCCCACAAACCAAAACTAACCACTGTTAGGTCTTTTGTCATATTTGTCCCCAGGCCTTTTTCTGTGTGTGTTCTTTTCTAAATTATATACATATATGAAGATGTATTTTATTTTTTTTATAGGTTTATTTATTAGAGAGAGAGAGAGTGCAGGGGGAGGGGCAGAGAGAGAGGAAGAGAGAGAATCCTCAAGCAGGCTACCCGCTAGGTGCAGAGCCTGACATGGGGCTCAATCCCAGGACCCCAATATCATGACCTGAGCCAAAATCAAGAGTCGGCCGTTTAACCGACTGAGCCACCCAGGCGTCCTGAAGATGTAAGTATTTTAAATTAGAACATTACAGTTAAGTGGGGCACCTGGGTGGCTCAGTCGGTTAAGCGTCTGACTCTTGATTTTGGCTCAGGTTGTGATCTCAGGGTCTTGAGATCAAGCCTCACATGGGGCTCTGTGCTCAGCAGGGAGTCTGCTTGGAGATTCTCCCTCCCTCTGCCCCTCCCCACTGCACTCTCTTTCTCTAAAATAAAAGAACATTACAGATAAGCTATAGGCCCCTGACCCCCAATCTAGCTCCACATGGGTCTCTTCTCCCAACTCCCAGAGTGCCTACTACGGAGTTGTGTCTAGTCCCTTTGTTTAATGAATATTTATATTTTATTCCCAACAGATAATACTACTGTTTATTTTTGTTGTATTTGACAAAAATGATACAAACTTCCTTTTTTTACACTTTTAGAAATTTACCCATATTTATAGTCATAATTCACCTTAATTGCTTTAGAGTATTTTATCAGAGTCTATCCATATATTTGATATAATATAGTACTGTATTTGCTCTATTGATAGCAAAAAATTGGAACCAACCCAATCATTCCAAACAAAGCTGTAACATAGACTAGAACAGGTACCCATGGGGATTCAAGGGCTCCCATCTTCAATATGAATAGACACTGCACATCATCTCCCAAGAGGCTGTGCTGTGCTCTACCCCCACCTGCGTCCAAGTACACTGTCCATACAGCTTTGCACACCCACCATTCGATAACCACCTCACTTTAAAATTTGCCAAACTGGGGTGCCTGGGTGGCTCAGTCGGTTAAGAAGCTGCCTTTGGCTCAGGTCATGATCCCGGGGTCCTGGGATCGAGCCCCACGTCTGGCTCCCTGCTCAGTGGAGAGCCTGTTTCTCCCTCTCTCTCTGCTTGCTGCTCTGCCTACTTGTGCTTTCTTTCTGTGTCAAATAAATAAATAAAATCTTTAAAAAAAAAAATACCATTTAAAAAATAAAAAAATAAAATAAAATTTGCCGAACTGATGGGTGATGTTATTTCATTCCTGTTTGATATTACATTTCCATTATTACTAGGTGAGCTTGATTTTTCTTTTCAAGTAGGCTCCACGCCCAGGGCAGAGCCCAATGCGGAGCTGGAACTCATGACTCTGAGATCAAGACCTGAGCTGAGATCTGGACCCACCCACGTGTGCTCTAACAAAAAAAAGAAAGAGTTGGACATTTAACTGACTGAGCCACCCAGGCGCCCCTGATTTCTTTTTCTAACCACAAAGAAAATCCATTGTACTGACATTTATTAAAGATCTACCTTTCCCCTACTAACTTATAATATCTCCATTAATCAGGTCATTCCCATTTATATTAACTGGGTACTTTCCATGTCAAAGTCTTGAGAATTAGTGCATTATTACCAACATCCTAGACATTGCTTGATGATCCACTAATCTGTGAAATTCCCAACAAACATATATTCTTTTTTTTTTTTTTAAGATTTTATTTATTTATTTGACAGAGAGAGAGCGAGAACAGGAACACAAGCAGGGGGAGTGGGAGAGGGAGAAGCAGGCT